TCGATGGCAAGAGATAAAACCAAATTTGAAGTAAATTAAGGTATCAGTAATTGTGTAAATCAAGTAAAAAAAATTATTAATATTGAAATGACACATCATATTGAAGATTTAATGGTAGATACGCTATTCTAGCAATCATATAAAGACAATTTAATTGAAAAGATTTGATTACAGTGGTCAATAAACATCTACATGTTTTACACATTTTCAAGATGTAAAGTGAAACCCAAAAATGCCTTTTTTTCAGAAATAAACTTTAAAACAATATCAAAAAATTAAAAATGAAGTTACAAGATTTGATATAACAGTGTACCTAACATTAAATCATTGATATAATGTGTTGTTTCGATATTACAATTTAGAATATAGCGATATTGACACACGTTATACGAAATGGCAACTAAATAGAAATAAATAAAACATTCTTTTTTCAGGTGCAAACCGCCAAAGAAATATATGGTAGATAATTACCTAAGCAGAACAATATAGACAAAGTATTACGTAATCTTCCCTGCCATTGTATTTTTAACTCCATTGAACTTATTTGTGACCTTTCTAAGCAATATTATAATAAACATATTGGCAGAGAGGGAGTTTTTAATAGATTGGAAATTATTTTTATTATAATTAACCCTAATAACGATATCGATGACTGCGATTCAAATACTTGCGATCTGGATTAGGAGAAATAAAAGAATTTTATAGGAATAATGAAGATTAGTAGATGAATAATTGTTTTTTTATGAGAAAATAGTGTAATTAAAAAAAAAAAACATTGTCTAATTTTTAAAACAATAAACAGTTTGATATATTTCTTATATATCTGTATTTTTATTTAATTTATTCCAAGATATAAAAAAAATATTTGACTGAGAATAACATTTTTCAAATGTCTTTTGAAGCTGATAGAATGGGGAATCTTGATGTTTGAGTGATGAATTTATTGTTCATACATGTTTCGATAACTTTAGAGTTGAAAAGAAGTAGCGATATCTGTTTATTTTTGAAGCATTTCTGGCTATCTTGAATACTTGAGCTACAGAACCGTTACTGAAAGTGAGATTTACTAAAGCACCTACTCAAATATTTTAACAATTTCCTTCTTGTATTCAAATATTTTAGCATTTTCAAACTTTAATTCTTTAAGTATAGGTATCTACTGATATTATGAATCCTCCACATGCCTTTGTAGTTTTCATTTTTTCAATGACCTCTTTAATTTTATGGGGTGTTGTGGTTTATAACTTAAATGTAGTTCTGTTAAATAACTTTCTTGGTGAAATTAAATTAGTTTTAGATATTTTCTGTGCTAGTTCTAAACCAATTTTGATCCATCTGCAATATACTACCTTACAGTTTTATTTTCCATGACTTGCATAATATGTTTAAAGCTTTTTTGTTCAGATGTTTATTTTCATAAAGGAATTCAATATTTTCCGTTAGTTATATACATTTAAAACTAATTGTTCCTACTATATAGTAACATAACAAATACATAACCTTACAATTTTAAAAAATTCTAAATTCCTCAACTATTCTGACGATTAGGCAATACTGCAAGGCCGTGACGTCATAAATGATCTCTGACGTGCATCGGGATTTGTATTAAAAATACTATAACAACATCATTGAGGTTATAGTAATATTTTGATTTTTATTTATTTAATTTCTGACAAGCACTGCGCATGCTTGTGAATTGAATTCTCTCGTTATTTTCATTCTCTCTACCTAAAAGTAGGAGAAAGTTTTGAGAGAAAATTCTCCACCAATTTTGGTGAATTTGATTTCAAGAATACGAATTTTTACAAAGGAGTAGAAAGTGAGAATTTTCTCTCAATATTTCTCACTCCCCGATTTCAAGAATAGGCACCCAGGAGGGATTTTTGGATGAAAACGTTGTATAATTATAAAAGTTATTTAAACAAAAACGACTTCAAAATCGTACAGATGCCATTACAAATTCAGTTTGCTGAATTTCTCAATAGTAGAGGCAATGAAGCACTAAAAAAGCCCAAAGTTCGGAATTTTTTGGACTAAGACAGATGGAAATGCGGTTTTTGCATTCGCTTCAAACATTTTTTTAAAAAAATGTCTCAATTTTTTCCTTTATATAAACCGAAAATTGCAATTGCTGCAGCCAAAAATGCATTTTTTGAGACAGCTTTTGGAAGATTAAAGAACTTTCTAAATAAGAGCCAGAGCTCGCCCTAATTGAGTTCGCGGGAGGTTTTCGAGGTCGCTGATCGCGATTACGATGTTCAAATTAACCCACAACCGACCTGGAGCTCAGGAATCCCCATGAACGTTATCTCCATGCGGGGAAGGAGAGAAACTCGGCGCCCGGTGGTTTTAAAGGTCGCTGCTTTCAAATAAGGCATCGGTGAACACCCCCCTGACACCTGGTGCGCCCAAACCTGGACGTGGACATCATCCCCGAGAATTTTCCTGACAGGATCGTCAGAAACAACCTGAAATTTCACGTCTAAAACGACCCCCTGAACACCTGGTGCACCGAACCTGGACGCGGACCTCATTTCCGTAGGTTTTAAAAATAATTGTAAATATTTGTAAATAATTGTAAATAATTGTAAATAATTGTAAATAATTGTAAATAATTGTAAATAATTGTAAATAATTGTAAATAATTGTAAATAATTGTAAATAATTGTAAATAATTGTAAATAATTGTAAATAATTGTAAATAATTGTAAATAATTGGAAAATAATTGATAATAATTGTAAATAATTGTAAATAATTGTAAATAATTGTAAATAATTGTAAATATTTGTAAATAATTGTAAATAATTGTAAATAATTGTAAATAATTGTAAATAATTGTAAATAATCGAAAATAATCGAAAATAATGGAAAATAATTGATAATAATTGATAATAATTGTAAATATTTGTAAATAATTGTAAATAATTGTAAATAATTGTAAATAATTGTAAATAATTGTAAATAATTGTAAATAATTGTAAATAATTGTAAATAATTGTAAATAATTGTAAATAATTGTAAATAATTGTAAATAATTGTAAATAATTGTAAATAATTGTAAATAATTGTAAATAATTGTAAATAATTGTAAATAATTGTAAATAATCGAAAATATTTGATAATAATTAAAAATAATTGTAAATAATTGTAATTAATTGAAAATAATTAAATAATTGAAAATAATTGTAGATAATTGTAAATAATTATAGATAATTGTAAATTTAACATCTAAAACGACCTCCTGAACACCTGGTGCACCGAACCTGGACGCGGACCTCATCTCCGCGAATTTTTGTTCACACAATCGAAAAAGACAAACCGAAAATCGTTATATGGCATCGGCGAACACCTCCCTGACACCTGGTGCGCCTAAACCTGGACGTGGACGTCATCCCCGAGAATTTTCCTAACAAGATCGCCAAAAACAACCTGAAATACATTGTAGGAGCGTTTTTTAGGCGCTTTATCCAAATTTAACATCTAAAACGACCTCCTGAACACCTGGTGCACCGAACCTGGACGCGAACCTCATCTTTGTGGATTTTCCTCACACAAACGAAAAAGACGAACCGAAAATCGTTATAAGGGTTTTTTGGGGTCCTGAATTCAAATGTGACATCGGCGAACACCCCCCTGACACCTGGTGCGCCCAAACCTAGACGTGGACGTCATCCCCGAGAATTTTCGTAACAAGATCGCCAAAAACAACCTGAAAAACATTGTAAGGGCGTTTTTTGAGCGAGTAATCCAAATTTCACGTCTAAAACGACCCCCTGAACACCTGGTGCACCGAACCTGGACGCGGACCTCATTTCCGTGGGTTTTAAAAATAATTGTAAATAATTGTAAATAATTGTAAATAAAAAATTGTAAATAATTGTAAATAAAAAATTGTAAATAATTGTAAATAAAAAATTGTAAATAATTGTAAATAATTGTAAATAATTGTAAATAATTGGAAAATAATTGATAATAATTGTAAATAATTGTAAATAATTGTAAATAATTGTAAATAATTGTAAATAATTGTAAATAATTGTAAATAATCGAAAATACTGGAAAATAATTGATAATAATTGTAAATAATTGTAAATAATTGTAAATATTTGTAAATAATTGTAAATAATTGGAAAATAATTGACAATAATTGTAAATAATTGTAAATAATTGTAAATAATTGTAAATAATTGTAAATAATCGAAAATACTGGAAAATAATTGATAATAATTGTAAATAATTGTAAATAATTGTAAATAATTGTAAATAATTGTAAATAATTGTAAATAATTAATTGTAAATAATTGTAAATAATCGAAAATAATGGAAAATAATTGTAAATAATTGTAAATAATTAATTGTAAATAATTGTAAATATTTGTAAATAATTGTAAATAATTGTAAATAATTGTAAATAATTGTAAATAATTGTAAATAATTGTAAATAATTGTAAATAATTGTAAATAATTGTAAATAATTGTAAATAATTGTAAATAATTGTAAATAATTGTAAATAATTGTAAATAATTGTAAATAATTGTAAATAATTGTAAATAATCGAAAATATTTGATAATAATTAAAAATAATTGAAAACAATTGAAAATAATTCAAAATAATTGTAAATAATTGTAATTAATTGAAAATAATTAAATAATTGAAAATAATTGTAGATAATTGTAAATAATTATAGATAATTGTAAATAATTAATTATTTTGAATTATTTTGAATTATTTTGAATTATTTTCAATTATTTTGAATTATTTTCAATTATTTTGAATTATTTTCAATTATTTTCAATTATTTTCCATTATTTTCAATTGTTTTTAATTGTTTTAATTGTTTTCAATTGTTTTCAATTGTTTTCAATTGTTTTCAATTGTTTTCAATTGTTTTCAATTGTTTTCAATTGTTTTCAATTGTTTTCAATTGTTTTCAATTGTTTTCAATTGTTTTCAATTATTTTCAATTATTTTCAATTATTTCACTACGAAGCAATTACCTTTAATTTTTGCATATCGTCCCTTAAGCTCTGAGTGGTATTTTGAACGATTTGCGTGCGCTCGGAGAGTTCCTTAAGGAAAGCGAGGTGTTCGCACAACTGGTGCATCCCCTCGCACGCTACCAACGCGGACTCCCAAGCGCTGACGCACGTCAGTTCGCCGGACATGTAGGCTTCGAACTCTTGTTCGGGCATATTATTTAAGGATTCTGCCGTGAGGTTTTCGATGAACGAAACAGCGCAGCACTGTAAAAGAAAATTGTAAAAATTGTAAAAATTGTAAAAATTGTAAACATTGTAAAAATTGTAAACATTGTAAAAATGGTAAAAATTGTTAAAAATTGTAAAAAATGGAAAAATAAAAATTGTAAAAAATGGTTAAAATTGTTAAAAATGTAAAAATTGTAAAAAATGCAAAAATTGTAAATAATGCAAAAATTGTAAAAAATGGTAAAATTGTAAAAATAGTAAAAACTAACACTTGTAAAAATTACAAAAATGGTGGAAATTGTAAAAACAGAATTGGTAAAAATTGTAAAACTTGTAAAAATTGTGAAAATGGTAAAAATTGTATATAATTTGTTACTAGAGCGCCTTTCTTAGACCTACAGAGTTTATTTATATCTACTTGTTTTGAGAAACAGAATAAGTTGGAAAAGTGATTTCAAAATTTCATTTAATTTTTACTAAAAACCATTTATAAAAGTCAAAAAATTGGATTTTTAAACTTTTACAATGTATGGGAGTATCATCACAATTTTTTATCAGTAAGACGAGCGATAACTTCGATTCCCATCATCCAATAAATAATCGAGTTTATTTTATATCACACACATCTATTATCTTTATAGCAACCCTAAATACCAGAATAGTAACTTTCATCAAAATGGTTATAGTTGCTATAAAAGAGATAATATAACAAGTTTTTATTTAATTTTATTTGATTTTATTCGCTTTTATTTAACTTTATTCCATTTTATTCCATTTTATTCCATTTTATTCCATTATATTCCATTTTATTCCATTTTATTCCATTTTATTCCATTTTATTCCATTTTATTCCATTTTATTCCATTTTATTCCATTTTATTCCATTTTATTCCATTTTATTCCATTTTATTCCATTTTATTCCATTTGATTCCATTTTATTCCATTTTATTCCATTTTATTCCATTTTATTCCATTTTATTCCATTTTATTCCATTTTATTCCATTTTATTCCATTTTATTCCATTTTATTCCATTTTATTCCATTTTATTCCATTTTATTCCATTTTATTCCATTTTATTCCATTTTATTCCATTTTATTCCATTTTATTCCATTTTATTCCATTTTATTCCATTTTATTCCATTTTATTCCATTTTATTTCTATTTATTTAATTTTTTTTCTATTTATTTCATTTTCAATTTTTTTTTTATTATTTAATTTGATTTATTTGATTTTACTTATTTGATTTCTATTTATTTGAATTTAATTTGATTTAAATTCATTTTTATCACTTTTTACTCCATTTTATTTAAGTTGTGCTCGCTCTTTATAAAGCTATCGCAGTCCGAGACCTGTTAATCAGCAATACCCAAGAACATTTTAAGTTGAATCTATACAGAAAATAATTTACCAGAAATATGAAAAATGATAATTATGAAAGTAACAAAAAATATTTCAAAACTAATTCGCAAATACTCACCAAATTCGTAAAATAGTATCCAGCTTCGCCTTGCATCAATCTAGAATCTTTACAAAATCTAGTCACATACAGTATATTGCTCTTCAATCTTGCGGGATTCGCTTTCAAAACGACAAAAATCAGCGCGGGCAAGAACTCATCGGCGCTCACGGGACCGCCTTGGCAATGCTGCAAAACTTCCACGACGCTGCGACAACATTTAACAACGCAGGCGAGTTTTTCCAGAGGCGCTTTCATGGAATCCATGCCCAAAAGGTCGTTTATGGCCGTGTACACCAAATCGCGCACTTCGATGCTCGTTTCGCTTATGCAACAGTCCAAGTGGTGGGCGTTCACCCAACTCAGTTTACGTATTCTGTTTTGTATGGCGAGATCTTTTTCTTCGTCGTTTGTGGTGGGCGGGCAGAAGAGGAAGCTAAAAAATATAAGTAATGTTTATAAGTAACATAAGTAATACAAGTAATATAAGTAATGTAATGTAATATAATATAATAATAAAAAGTAATATAAGTAATATAAGTAATGTAATGTAATATAATATAATAATAAAAAGTAATATAAGTAATATAAGTAATATAAGTAATATAAGTAATATAAGTAATATAAGTAATATAAGTAATATAAGTAATATAAGTAATATAAGTAATATAAGTAATATAAGTAATATAAGTAATATAAGTAATATAAGTAATATAAGTAATATAAGTAATATAAGTAATATAAGTAATATAAGTAATATAAGTAATATAAGTAATATAAGTAATATAAGTAATATAAGTAATATAAGTAATATAAGTAATATAAGTAATATAAGTAATATAAGTAATATAAGTAATATAAGTAATATAAGTAATATAAGTAATATAAGTAATATAAGTAATATAAGTAATATAAGTAATATAAGTAATATAAGTAATATAAGTAATATAAGTAATATAAGTAATATAAGTAATATAAGTAATATAAGTAATATAAGTAATATAAGTAATATAAGTAATATAAGTAATATAAGTAATATAAGTAATATAAGTAATATAAGTAATATAAGTAATATAAGTAATATAAGTAATATAAGTAATATAAGTAATATAAGTAATATAAGTAATATAAGTAATATAAGTAATATAAGTAATATAAGTAATATAAGTAATATAAGTAATATAAGTAATATAAGTAATATAAGTAATATAAGTAATATAAGTAATATAAGTAATGTAATATAAGTAATGTAATATAATATAATAATAAAAAGTAATATAAGTAATGTAATGTAATATAAGTAATGTAATGTAATATAAGTAATGTATTATAAGTAATTCTTTGATCACGCCTGTCTATTTTAGTTTTATCAAAACATCTGCTTACCTGTACAAAATGATCATCGTATATTTCTCGAAGAACTCCACCAATTTCTCTCGAATTTCGCTCGGAACATCTTCATATATGGAATTTGAATTTACTCGATTCTGATAAAGATTATAATAATTTTGCGCGGTTTCCGCCAAATCTTCAATGGGTTTGACTTCCAATTCGTTAATCACTTTATTTGAAAATGCCTGACTACATTTAAAGAAGTCTTTTTTGACTATATCGCCGTATTGACTGTACTGGGTGATGAACTCTACCATCAGTTTATTGGCATCCGGGTTAGCTTGCCTCATAATATCGATGTATTTTTCTGGTCTTCCAGAATCTACAAATATTATTTAATAAGTACATGTTTCAAGTAAGTAAGTAAGTAAGTAAGTAAGTAAGTAAGTAAGTAAGTAAGTAAGTAAGTAAGTAAGTAAGTAAGTAAAGTAAGTAAGTAGGTAAGTAAGTAAGTAAGTAAGTAAGTAAGTAAGTAAGTAAGTAAGTAAGTAAGTAAGTAAGTAAGTAAGTAAGTAAGTAAGTAATTAAGTAAGTAAGTAAAGTAAGTAAGTAAGTAAGTAAGTAAGTAAGTAAGTAAGTAAGTAAGTAAGTAAGTAAGTAAGTAAGTAAGTAAGTAAGTAAGTAAGTAAGTAAGTAAGTAAGTAAGTAAGTAAGTAAGTAAGTAAGTAAGTAAGTAAGTAAGTAAGTAAGTAAGTAAGTAAGTGAAGTAAGTAAATAAGTAAGTAAGTAAGTAAGTAAGTAAGTAAAGTAAGTAAGTAAGTAAGTAAGTAAGTAAGTAAGTAAGTAAGTAAGTAAGTAAGTAAAGTAAAGTAAAGTAAAGTAAAGTAAAGTAAAGTAAAGTAAAGTAAAGAGTAAAGTAAAGTAAAGTAAAGTAAACTAAAGTAAAAAAAATAAGTAAATACAATAATTAAAAAAAATGATGGTTGAATAGACAAAAATGCAAAAGTTGAATAGACAAAAATGCAAAAGTTGTAAAAATGGCAAAAATTGTAAAATTGCAAAAATTTCGAAAATTGCAAAAATTTCGAAAATTGCAAGAATTGCAAAAATTGTAAAAATTGAAAAATCGTAAAAAAAGTAAAAATTGTAAAAATGCAAAAGTTGAATAGACAAAAATTGTAAAAATTGCAAAAATTGTAAAATTCGTAAAAATGGTAAAAATCGTAAAAACGGTAAAAATTGTAAAAATGCAAAAATAATAAAAAGTGTAGAAATTGTAAAAATTGTAAAAATGTAAAAATAATAAAAATGATAAAAATTGCAAAAATGCAAAAATAATAAAAATTGCAACAATTATAAAAATTATAAAAATTGCAAAAATTGTAAAAATTGTAAAAATTGTAAAAATTGTAAAAATTGTAAAAATTGTAAAAATTGTAAAAATTGTAAAATTGCAAGAATTGCAAAAATTGAAAAATCGTAAAAAAAGTAAAAATTGTAAAAATTCAAAAGTTGAATAGACAAAAATTGTAAAAAATTGCAAAAATTGTAAAATTCGTAAAAATGGTAAAAATCGTAAAAACGGTAAAAATTGTAAAAATGCAAAAATAATAAAAAGTGTAGAAATTGTAAAAATTGTAAAAATTGTAAAAATGTAAAAATAATAAAAATTATAAAAATTGCAAAAATGCAAAAATAATAAAAATTATAAAAATTGCAAAAATTGTAAAAATTGTAAAAATTGTAAAAATTGTAAAAATTGTAAAAATTGTAAAAATTGTAAAAATTGTTAAAGTTGTAAAAATTGCAAAAATTGTAAAAAAATTAAAAATTGTAAAAATGCAAAAATAATAAAAATTATAAAAATTATAAAAATTATAAAAATTATAATAATTTCAAAAATTGTAAAATTGTAAAAATTTTAAAAATTGTAAAAAATTGTAAAAATGCAAAAATTGTAAAAATTCTAAAAAGGAAAAATGAAAGTAAAATTTAATAATTGCATTTTTATATTTTTTATTTTTATACACAACACACTTAGAAATCTTTTAACGAGCCACTGTCAAATAAGAAAAAAACTTACCTTTAACATTGGACGATTTTCTGAAAACCGGTAAACTTTTCAAATATTTATTTTTCTTATCAGTTTGCTGCCTTTTCTTTTCTTCGAATTTTGTAAATCCCGACATTTGCGCCCTCGACTGATCCGGCATTTGACTGTTGTGGGACTTTTTTTGCCTTTCCACGTCCATATGGTTTCTGTAGCATTGGGAGCAGTAACCTGAAATTAATATGAAAATATAATAAGAAAATAAGGGAATTAATATTTTAAGTAAATTTTAACTCCCCATACTAGATAATTCTATATAAATGCGCTTAATTTATCAAAGATGTTACCCAAGGACATTTTTATTAAATTATTTGTTTTTAATTATTTCTTAAAATTATCAGAAAAAATTATAGATCTGACAACATCGCAACTTCAAACATCGATTAGTTTTTAAATGTAGTAAAACCATTTCATTCTTCTTTATCTTCGCCGTCGCCGCCATTTTGGTTTTGTGAAAGTGTATTTTTGATTTTTAGCGAATAAATATGACATTAGTATCGACATGGATCAGCAGTATTTTGTGGGCAAAAATTTCTCGCAACAAACCATTTTTCATGTTAAACAACATTTAACAAATGCATTTTCAGAACGATAGGAAGAGGATGCTCCTATACGATGACCTGCAAGATCTCCGGACTTGGCACCTCGTGACTTCAACTATAGTTAAAATATGCAAGATTTGCAAAACGGAATTATAGCTGGAGGTTAGAGCCTGGAGCTAATGTTTTAATAAACAAGGCAATTTTAACTTTTTAAACAGAATATTCTGGTAATTTTCAACGTTTAACATGATCTGATCTAATTTATTTAAAAACTAAATTATGGCAAATAAACAATTTATTATTTATAAAGAAAATATTAGAGAATAGAAAATTAATTCAAAAAAGTCGATTCCTCCATAGACGTGGAATTTATAGGGGCGAAATTCTTTTTCTGCCCCTACCGCACGTCTATCGTATTCGTATTTTAATGTACTTAAGCGTTCTTCAAAATTTTACCAAAGAAATATTAAACAGTGTCAAAATAACTGACGAATTTATTTATTATTACCGAGCCACCCTGTATACAGGGTGTACCAATAAAAACTCCCAGGCCGGATATTTTGGTAAGTAATAGAGATATTTTAATTCTGTAAAAGCCAGTTCACAGGGCACTAAGATAGCTTCAGTTTTAGATATAAATTGATTTTAAATAGGTCAATATGTAGATGGCGCTGCGCTCAATAATTATTTTTCGATGGGAGGATCTTTCTTATGTAGCGCATCTTGTAAAAAATGCATTTTTAAGTTAATTTTGTTCTATGAACTAATTCGATAAATCTAGCCATTTTTGATATACAGAGTGGGTCATTCAAAACAGTTTCATCCTGTTTTTCGGAATTATTCATTGTATTTTTGCAAAATGCTAAAACAGGTCGATTTTTATTCTAAATTAAAGACATTTATACAATATAGACATATGTCATGTGTCAACCCCCTCCCTTATACTTCTCCACACCTTAATTTTAAATAGGTAATGTACCATGTATGGCTCATCATTGAAAAGGTAATTTAATGGGAGATTCAGAAATATTTCTGTAAATTACGTTACTTAAATTTTATCGCCCTCTAGCGGGATAAAAAACTACTACGTATTGTAGAGTGTGATACTACAATGTGTAGTACATCATTAAAAAGGTAATTTTATGGGGAATTTAGAAATATGACTGTCCATTGTGATACTTTTAATTGTACTGCCCTCTAGCGGGAAAAAAAACTACGTATTTTAAAGTGTGACACCTTTTTTGAAAGCAAATTTAATTACTAATTCAATGTACCACATAACATTAATTAATAACAATATTATTATAAATATCCACATTGCACTTGCAATAGTTTAAAAATTAGTCATGCATTATTTTAAACATTATTGCTAACTTTATTTTGTTGCAAGTGCAATATGGAAATATTTATATTAATGTTATGTGGCGCATTGAATTAGTATTTAAATTAGCTTTCAAATGAAGTGTCACACTTTAAAATACGTTACAGATTTTTTATCCCGATAGAGGGCGCTAAAATTAAAAGTTTCGCAATAAACTGTCATATTTATGACTTCCCCATAAAATTACCTTTTTAATGATGTGCCGTACATGGTACATTCCTTATTTAAAATTAAGGGGTTGGAGAAGTGGAAGGGAGGAGGTTGACACATGACAGATGTCTGTATTGCAAAAATGTGTTTAATTTAGAATAAAAATCGACCTGTTTTAGCATTTTGCAAAAATACAATGAATAATTCCGAAAAACAGGATGAAACTGTTTTGAATGACCCACTCTGTATATCAAAAATGGCTAGATTTATCGAATTAGTTCATAGAACAAAATTAACTTAAAAATGCATTTTTTACCAGATGCGCTACATAAGAAAGATCCTCCCATCGAAAAATAATTATTGAGTGCAGCGCCATCTACATATTGACCTATTTAAAATCAATTTATATCTAAAACTGAAGATCTCTTAGCGCTCTATAAACTGGCTTTTACAGAATTAAAATATCTCTATTACTTACCAAAATATCCGGCCTGGGAGTTTTTATTGGTACACCCTGTATACAACTTAAACTTTAATTTTGTGAGAAACGGTTGAGATAAAATTTTAGTGTTAAGGTCCAATAATGAATAAACAATTTATTTAAATAGTTTTCAATAAGTATAAACAATTATTTTTTTTATTATAAACATGTTTATTAATATTTCTGAGAAATTTATCTTGATATAAAAATAATTATAAAAAACTTGATTTTTGTACTGCGAGAATAAATAACGTAATACATAAATTTTCACAAAAAAATATATTATTTAGCTGTTTTTAAAATGAATTTGGTATCAATTCTGAATATATTTTTATCAACTATTAAAAATAATTTTTTATAGATGTTTACAACAAATATTTTCCAGCAGACATTGTTTATTGAGTCACTAAAACAGTAAGTTTCTGAAGAAATTGGTGAGTTAGAAAAACAATACGAAAACAATTCTCAAAACCTAAATCATCCCAAAAATTTAAAGAGCTATGCTCAAGCTACAGGAGAAGTAGTTATTATTAAGCCTAAAAATACTGATCAAGCTTGTAGCAAAAAAACATTTGAAGCTGTTTAAAAGTATTTAAATCCAAATTAGTTACAATAGGGATAAATGAAATAAGAAATGAAAAAGATGGTAGTGTAGTTATTAAATGTAATTCTAAAAATGAAATTAAAAAGGTTAAATCTGCTGTCGAAAAGAAATTATCTAAGAGTTATAATATTGTGTCACCAGATTTAAAAAATCCCTCCATAAAAGTTGTGGATATAGAAAATGAAATGTCTCCTGAAGATTTAATAAATATGTTTTAAAAAGCAAAATGGTTTTAAAATGATGATGATTCTAATATATCTATTAAAGTGTTTAAAAAAATGAAATCTAAATTCATGGCTATAATTGTTTGTGATCCACAGTCATATACTAAAAGAAGGTTTCCTGTATGTTAATTGGGCAAAATGTCGTGTCTTTGGACATCATAGAGATAAATGTGATAGTGTGCAAAAGTGCCTAAAGTGTTGTGGTCCAGATCATCTCACAGATGAATGTACAAGTTCCATCTCTAAATGTAACAATTGTATAGAAGCAAATTCAAAAACTCACTTTAATGTTTATCATAGTATTTTCGACCAGGGCCCCTGCAATTGCGCGTGCAACGCGTGCACCGCACGCGGGCGCACCTCTAAAGGGGCGCCAGGGTCCCGGTACATAACGGGGTACAGGGTAACGAGATTGCAGATAGTCTTGCAAGGAAAGGGGCTCAAACACCCTTTGTAGGACCTGAGCCGTTCTGCGGTATCAGCAGTAACATAATATTAGAAGAGATTAAAAAAGAATTGGGTAGTAGAAGAACCGATAATTGGAACAATCTCTTGGGGCTGAGACATGCCAAGATACTTCTGGGTGAATATAACCAAAAAAGATTGGAAGCCTGCATCTGCCTGAGCAAGAACAGGCTACGTATTGTAACAGGGATCCTTACCGGGCACTGCCGACTAAAAGGACACCTAAGTAAACTGAGAGTAGTAGAGGATAGTGAGTGCAGATTCTGTGAGGAGGAGGACGAAACCTCCATTCACATCCTAACTGAATGTGTAGCACTCCAGAATCCAAGGGCACTATATCTAGGAGGATATCAAATAGAAGAGGGAGACTTACCTAACTTGAAGCCACTTCAAATCCTACACTTCCTTGAGAAAATAGGATTGGAAGGGTCGCTATAGGCATTGAGACATTTCCTTAGTGCAGTGGCGACAGAAGGGGGCACAATAGATCTTTTAGGTCGCAGTGTATTAACACCCCATTATCAACATAACATAATGGGGCGCTAGACTGGAGGTCTGTATACAATTCGAATTTTTAATTTTTCTAACGATTCCAATGAACAAGGCACTAAGATACTAAAGAAATCAAAAATGTTTTTATCTCAATTCATGATAATATAATCAATAATGTTATCGAAGTTTATGTTCGTTGATATAATTACCTATTCATATTGTTACAGAAAAAATATCTATTTTTGAAATCAAATAGCTATTCAATTAGCGTTAATTATTAAATATAATAAAATCAATAGGTTAGTTAATTCTGTGTGCAACATGCAATACCATGAATACCCGTATAAAGTATAAACTTGTCGATTTTTCCTGTCCAGACTCGAATACTGTACGAACGACGTGTAAGTTTCAAATTAGATCTTGTCGATTTTTCCTGTCCAGACTTGAATACTCTACGAACTACGTTTTTCCTGTCTAGACTCGAATATTGTACGACGAGTAAGTTTCATTTTTGATCTTGTCGATTTTTCCTGTCCAGACTTGAAGACTCATCTACGAACCACGAGACCACGAGTATAAATAAAACTGCAGGAGGCGTCGTAATCCAAATAGTTAATATTTTCTTCGGCTACGTGAAGGTCAAAAACCAAGACGCAAAGTTATAGTTTAAAATAAATTTCCTTTTAAAAATTATTGATCAAACACTAAGTTCTTCAAATAGTAGATTTGAAATGATATCTTGAAACGTAAATAACGTTTACATTCAATGGTTCTACCAAAGTTTTATTATTTTAAAATAAATTATCCCAAATAAATTATCCATATTGACTCA